CGGGGGGGGGGTGCTTGGACCCTCTTATGAACACTGTCCCGTCTGAGGCCCTTGGTGGAACAGTGTTCCACATCCTCTTCGTAATTCCATGGGTAAGTGGAATTTTCCTTGCCCACTTGGTTGGGGAGTGAAAATGACTGTTCGTAAATCCAGACCAGATGAGTTCTGGACTTTAGATGGAGTATGGCATATATGATCCTGTCAATCCAAGCCTGGGATGTAGCCTTTTGGATTTCTTCAGGTTGATCAGAAGGATTGTCCACTTTGTTGTTACTTTCTTTCTTTTATAAATCTGGTTGTTCAAAATGCATCATTCTGTGGCTGCTGGTGGGGATCCTATCACAAAGATATGTATATATTTGCAATCCCACTGCCCTTGCCACCAATGGGGGATATGGGTACCATGACCCCTTAAATCCAGCCCCAAGTTGTGGAACCTTGGCTGTGTGGTTAGGGCTTGCCCATCATACTTACTTGTGTAATATACCACCTTTTTCCCTTTTCTTTAGTTCTGGGTGTAGAGCATACCTGTTCTGGATGTAGTGCAGTTTCCCTCACTTGGGTACCACTTCTTGTGGTACACCTTTGTTCTATGCAGATGCTTTCTGTATGAAATATGCCCTCACCGGCCACTCCACCTTCTCAATGTGGGATTCTAGCTATAAGTGTCAGTGGAGGTATATATGTTTTGGAAGTTATCATACTTACCTCCGCTGACACTCTCCCTCCCTTCCTCCCCACTAAGAGCCAGTGTTAGTGACCAAGATGGGGTAAGTCTCCAAAAAAGTGATTATATTGCTGAGATACAGTATTTATATACAGTATCTGCAGAGAGGGCGTGTAAGGGCTGGTGTAAAGTTGTGCAAATCAGATAATGCTGAGGGCAGTCAAGTGGGGTATAAAGATTGGAGCAAGTGAACAGAATGTTTAGATGGTAAAGATGAAGATCGAGAAATAGCTATAAGTGTCAGCGGAGGTAAGTATGTTTGGAAGTACATTTTCAGATTAAGCAAATGATAACTTTTTTGTTTTTAAAGCTATTTAGTTTTGATATTTTATGTCTTCATTTACAGAAAAATGTCATTTCACCAGTTCCTTTGCTATGATGCAGACTCTATACATACATCAAGATATTTTTGTTATTACAAAAATACTTGTTAAACCATAAAGTGAATAATTCTTAGGAAATAGCCTATTATTTTGTAAAATCAATAAAACTATTAATCAACATAAATAAAACCTGTGCATGGTAATTTCTATTTCTAGGTACTATACATTTGTTCCTAGTATTACAGGTAAATAAAAATTTCCTTACTGCTAAGGCACTTGTAAATTGTTAACACTTTTATTTTTTGCATATTTCAGGAAGATCGTAAGAAACTGCAAGATGTTCAAGTGAGTTTATATTTTTTCTTATTGTTTGATTACTGTGTGATAAGAAGCAGCATACTTTAACATTTAAAAATTACAAGCATATGTACCACCATATAAAAAAAAAATTTGAATGTTGGTCATATAGAATATTTACGAAAATACTATTTTAGGAACTTGTTAATCATTATAATCCAAATGCAAGCTAGTAAATGTGGAGCCTACATTGAACATGTGATGAGAAAAGGGATTATGGGAACAAATTTTCATCATTAGTCTTTAAATAAATGAATCAGTTATTTGGCAATCAACTGATTTTGTACTTTTTTTTTGGTTACATGTAAAATTTTGGGATACCCTATATATTCATATATACACAGTCATAGACCTTGTATATTCATATATATAAACACACACACATAAACACACAGCTCAAAGTAAAGTATGTCTCATTTGAACATACATACGTTTTCCTCTGTATATCCTTAAAACATATGGAACACTTCATACAATTTATTTGGTACTTTTTGAATTTTAATATGATAAGTCTTGGTCACTACATTAAGCAGATACTTTTGGTAGTTCTAAGAAATATTAAAAGAGCAGGTGCATATAGACTGGTAAGATGTTTATCATATGGACCAAAGAGATCTACAACTTGGCATTTTTGTTTATCTTTATTTTACAATGGATTTAACAGATCTTGGAAAGTCCTGAAAATTTGTAAATTATTTTCAAGCCTGCAAATTCCTTGAAAAATTGTGATGTAATCAAGAGTTTTGGAAAACAAAATGCCTTCTACAGAATATTTTTATCCACAGATTTTAAAATATCACCAAACAAAAATGTTTTAAACTGATCAAGTATTTCAAATCCTATGATTTATATATCAAAAGATGGCAAAATATTGGAAACCCAATAGGCATAAAAATTGTTTTAAAAATGTTAACTGTAGAAGTTTTTTTCCCACATCCCTCTTAATTTGTCCATTGTAACTCGAAATAGAGATATGTCTTTTGCCTTTTACAGTTTGCTATCCAATAAGCTTTTCATTCAATATCAGAATTTAGCAATTGGTCTAGATTAGGGGTCGGCAATGCAAATAACAAGATGAGTCATTGTTTTCAAATTTTGTAAAAATACAAGAGACTCAGAGCCACAAGTTGCTGACCCCTAGCCTAGATGATGAGAGGTAAAAGATTCTACGAATCACTGTTTTTATATATTGTAAAATACTTTAAAATTTACTGTTTAATTAAATACCAAAAGTTGGCAAAATATTAGAAACCTAATAGGCCTAAGAATTGTTACAAAAACAAGTTAACTTTGGACTAGAATTAATTCTACTAACCCATTTCAATAATGTCACATTTGGATGGATAATGATGCAACATATACATGATGTTCTGTTATTAGCTTCACAGTACCAGGGCTCATCAGGGTGGCTGGGGTACAACAGATATTGTAGTAGTGGCTGAGATGCTATTTATATCATCAACTGCTTGAACAACAACTATTTCAGTGTGAGCTATATTAAGATGAAGAAGTGTAATTTTTATAAATTTTATTTAAGTCATTACAGATTAAAATTAGGCTTATGATTACTATTATTAACACTGGCATATAGTCCGTCAAAAATGACAGGGCAAGTATTACCACCCCCACTACATAGTACACCGTAACCTCACATTTCAGGCTAGGTGATCTCACACTATGTCTTTACTTTAGGCTTATTAAATCAACACTCACTACACTTATAAGGTGTCATAGCACAACCCCCTTGCACCTCCTTCACTAAGGTCATAATGGGTAGACAGTAATTGATCTGTTTTATCTTTATAAATGCATTTTGGCTTTTATGACTTCTCCTATTTCGAGAAGTTATGCGTGATGTGACGTGCACACACTGGCTTTTATATAGGTTAGATTACTTACTCATCTTAATTCAGAGTGTTTGTTATTTATTCATTTATTTTATTATCATTTTATTAAATCTTTGAAAGTGAAAAAACCTGATGAGTGATAAGAGACACTGGGACCAGGCTTCTTGCTAACAAGACTAGTGCTCTACCACTGATAAGATACAAAGAGTAAAAGCTATTTTCTTCAATGTTCACCTATAAATCATTTCAGTATGAGACTGGCAATGAATTAATGATGGAGAAAAACGAAGTCTAGTAGTAATGATGAAGATGGTTGACAAAACACAAAACATTTTTGTTCACAGAAGGTTCAAACATTTCAGAATACACTTATTCCATATTCAGCAAAATCTGAAAGTAATGCTACAATGATATTTATTAACTATTGCTATAGTATCATTAATTACTAATTATTTAGATATTTAGTATAGTGGTAAATGAAAGGAAAACAGATTATAGAAAATCTGTGAATATGTCATGAATTACAGGTTGCTTGAGACAATTATAATTATTCTTAACAAGCAGCTGAATTTTAAGTGTGTAAATATAGAGTAATTTTAGGTCTAAAGAGGTTTGTAGGTTGTTAAAGAGTAGGGCAACCTTTTGCAATGAGTAAACTTTAATGCAGAATTCAAGGTCTGGAGATCCTGCAGTAATGATAGAAAAACTGTTATAAGAAATATTGTGACTTGTGGTTTCACCATGTGAACAAATAGATGAGTTACTGGTTTTAACTAATGGATGACCTGTACCGTTTGATACTCCTAAAATGTTTGTAGATTCTAGTTTTCAAGTGGTGTTTTGTTTTGCCAATGTACGTGACCTTACAGTCACTACATATGTACTTATTCATGAGCTATGGATCTAGAAGTGTAAGTATTTTATCTTTTTATTGAAATAAGTGTTTGATGCAGATTCTAGGTCTATGTATTAGTCTGAGCTGAAATTGAGAGTAGAAGTTTTTCATTTAGGAGAAGAGTCGATTTTTTAATTTCCAAATCCTACTTAACTCTTGTAGTTATTACTCGACTGCCAAGGTTTCTTCCTTTGCCCATCTAAGCATTGTTCTGCTTTTTTTTTTGCTTGCTCCAGTCTTTTATACCACACTCAAGTGCTCTTGGCAGTATTTATCTGGTGACATTCTCCTCCCATGTCAATACACCCTCTATCCTGGTACTGTATATAAGCACCTCATTCAGGTAATGTTATCATTTTTTCTCGACAAAGTGTCACTAATGGGTTTCCAGTAATACAATTATTCAGAGATACTTTGAACGTTATCCGTGTTATCTAGTTGGTTTTGCAATAATATAAAAAAAATTTTTTTATTACGATTGGCAAGCCGATTTATGGTATGGTTTCCTGAATTATTATTTCCAACTTGAAGGCAAATCAGGTCTCTCCTATCCCACCTCTGATATCTTGCATCGCACAACACTTGGATAGGGGGGGGAGTCACTCTCGGTTGAGACTGTCAGCGGTCTTATTCATAGTGAGATGGAGATCTATATTCAGTTCTGTGGTGTTCCTCCGAGGGTCTCTGAGGCTACAATTGAGGGTAATCCTTGACATTCTGGAGAGAATTTAGATTTGCTTTTTCTTGTGCCTTCTTTTAGTATGTTGGCTTTTCAGTCTCCCTGTGGGGCAGTGCTGGGGTGTTTTGGGTTCATATCCCTATGGTGGACGTGGCAGATGGCCCAAAGTTGCTTTGCTCTAACAAAACAAATTTACCTGAAAAAATGTTGTTCCAATCAATGGTAACCAATACAGTCTCTAAGTGACCTGTAAAAAAAAAAAGAGGCCACTTTGGGATAAGCTGCCTTCGATTTGTTTTCTTCTCTTGGTTAATCGAGAGTGTGAGGTTTTTGGCCTTACCCCAGTTGCTTTTGAGCCTGCACCTTACTTGATAGCTGAAAGGTCTGGGTGAACATTTTTAGTTTTCTCTCCATCCATGGATATTGTGGTTCATGTAGGGAGGTTTACTTCTCAGTTACGTGAAGGAACAGTTAGACCTTATATGACACAGTGGTCAAGAACTTCGTGGAAGCATTTTCCAACTCTCAAAGCAGACATCTGCTCCTCGAATTTTGGGGTTCTATGGCGGAGTTGGTAGCTAACCTGAATAAATCAATGTATCCTGATGGGACATGGTAAGTCTATGGACTTACAACTCATTAATGACGAGCTGAATTCATTGTTAACATGCATGTTGGTTCAGTTGTTGGAGTCTCAAATTAATTCGGCCTCTGCATCCCTGACATCAGCCCCATGGCACATTGGTACCCAGAATAGATTCTATCCAAAGGTTCTGCTGCTTGGTCAGATTGACGCCAGCTACGTTGGTGATTGTTGTGTTCCTCCAGGATCTGTGGGGGCTCGGAGCCGAGACTTTCTAGACGTGTGGTAACCTTAACCATGGATCCAGGAGCACTACAGGTCCTTGAGTCAGGATTAGTCATTCAGTTCACATCTTCACCACTATTATTCACCCAACCTGAAGTGTTTCTGTCTCCCACAGATCCTCAGGATTTGGAACTTAGTTCTAGTACTACCAGAGTTTGGTTAGTCTGGGGGTAATGAGAGAGTCATGTCAGTTCTTCTAAGGTTTTATTCCCGTCAGTTGTTGGGCCTCAGAAGACAGGAGATTGTGTCCAGTCATCAATATTTCTTGTCTATATCAATGCCTAGATTCTCCAATTTTCACAAGTTACTCACTCCTCAATCTGAGTTGACATTTTTTTACTGGGATTGTGGATTCAGCTGATCACTATTTCTCACTTCTATGTCCAACCAGATTTCAATCATGGTCATGTTCAGCAAGGGTCTTGAAGGTTATGTTGCCTGCACTGATGCATTTAGAGATGCTAGACAAGGACTTTTTATTCTGGGCTTTCTTTGAAGGCATGGAATTTTCTATGAGCCATGTCTAATCAGATTTGTCACATTTCTATGTCCTTAGCATCCTGGTTGAATTACCTGTTGGAGGAAATTTTATGGACTGGTGTGTGGACCTCCCCAAAATACTTTTAATTTCACATTATTTGCATGCTCTGGCAGTATCTTCATCTGAGAGTTTTTGCCTGCCACTTGTAGCTATCTTAACCATTTCTGCTAGATTATACAGAGAAGGGAGTATTTTCATTGCTACCTTTCAGGGTCTCTTACCTCGTTTTCACAGGATTTCACTCAGTGGCGAGTGTTGCCCAGACAGATGTGCTTTTATCAAACCAATTTCACACTAGCAACCACTAATTCAATATACTTTATACAGGTTGTAACAGGCTCTGTAGAAATTAGGTGTTCCATAAGACCACCTAGAGGCTGACCGGGTGGTATCACTGGCAGGGATGGGCAGGATTCCATTATACTTTACTCATGATAATCTATGAGTGGCAGTCCAGCATAGTACGATGATTAGATTGAGTAAATCAGGGTTGGTTTGCTTTAAAAAATTTATGGAACTTGGTTCACCTATTGCACCATTCCTCGGGACTCCCCAAAGCATATTACCTCCAAGATTCTACTAGTGGAGCTAGGGAGTCCTAACCACACCCAGTTTCCAGTCACTAGGGTGATGGACAGAGGCTTTTCCTCCAGTGTTAGAGTGAATGTCTCCACTCTTAAAGAAGAGGGCAAGGTTTGGGGGCCCTCCTAACATCCTAATCAGATGTTGGTTGGAGTGGCACCAGCCTATGTGGGAGCCTACTCATAATACTAGTTCAGATTTGATCTTGAATATCTGGTTGGATTGAGCATGGCCCTTCTATTTGATAAATATTGGTTCAGTACATTGTTCATGGAAGAGAGTCCACTGTCTTCTCATAATTCTGAATGCAGAGTGATCCCAACCTGGGATCTTGGTTGAGCACAGTTGTTCCACATCCTTTCCATAATTCTGCGGGCAAGTGGAACTTACCTTTCTCACACATTTGGGGATGATGTTGAGTGTTCATAATTCCAGACTGGATAAATTCTGTTTTCTCAGGTTAAATAAGGCATACACGATCCCATCATTCCAAGCCTGGGGTGTTGCTTTTTGGACTTCTTCAGGTAGAGGAGAAGGTTTGTCCACTTCAATGTTGCTTATTTTCGTGTCGTGATTCCAGTGACACAGAATGCATCACTCTATGGCTACAGGTTGGGATCCACTCATAAGTGTGTGTGTATATATATATAGTTTGTGGTCCAATTGCCCTAGCCACTAACATGAGATAAAGGGACCATGGCCCTTTAATTCCAACTCCAAGTAGTGGAACCTCAGCCATCTGGTAGGGGCCTGGCCTATGGTGTTGATAAATTAGGTAAAATTCCACCCACAATACAGGAATTAAGTTTTGGGTGAAGAGCATACCTGTTCTGGATGTAGTATGGTTCCCCCTACTAGGATGCCAATTTTTGTTGACACACCCATGATCTATGCAGATGCTTTCTGTATGAATAATGCACTCACCAGCCCCTCCACCTTATCAATGTGGGATTCTAGCTATAAGTGTTAGTGGAGGTATATTTTTGAAGTTAACATTTTCTTAAATCGAAAAATGTATTTCCAATAATAACTCACACTCTCCCACCCTTCCTCCCCACTTAAGAGCCGGTGTTAGAGACTTTGGATTGAGGCAGTATCGAAAAAGTGATAACATTGTTTTTGGAGTATACATTTTCCCTCATTACTTTCATGTTGGCACAATTCTCCTCTTCAGCCCTATCCCATCACACGTGATTTCTTTGCTGTTTGGATCTTATCGGGAAAGGAGCTGTCTTGTCACACTCTACATTTCTCTTCATGACTTACGGATGGCTCATTTTATCAATTGGTAGAGAGATAAATATTCGCAAGGACAATTGAATGGAGTATAAAAGACTGGAGCAAGAGAGAAAAAATCAGAACAATTCTTAGATGGCAAAGGAAGAAACCCTGGCAGTGAGTAATAGTTATAAGTTTGAGAGTAGGTAAATATTATTGGAAATATATTTTTGATATAAGAAAATGTTAACTTACATTACAGTTTGACTTAGTTAATGGTTTATAGATTAACCTAATTCTTTAAAGCTGGACAAACTTTATGAGATTTCACTGGGATTATGGCCAAAAGTATTGTTAACAACAAGGGTACCAACTGATGATTTAATTCATTCTGTTATAGACTTTATTTTTCTGTGTTTATTGATTTGTCACATACAAGCATTTTAGTCAATATGTTATATTTTACAGGATTGTCTTCAGTAATTTCAAGAAACATTTAAGTAAATTACATTGCTCTTTTACATATTTTTAGGAAAAGAACTTCTGGCCAGAATCATCTAGTAACAATAATAACAGGTATGTAATACAAATCCTAGAACTTTACAAGTATAGCAGTTGTTAAGATGGTATTTTGTGATGGTTTACCCTTTCTTTCACATCTAACTCTCTTTTATTTGTAAACTAAGATTCATCTGTGAAACATGCTCTAGAATTATGCTAGTTTTTAATCTTTTCTTTATCTATAAATTATTTTTATCTACAAATGCAGTAATTTTTTGTTTATGATTGTTTTTTTATCTCTTTGTTCTTGCATCTTATCTTTTCTGATTGATACATGATTTCTTACTTGATTTTAGTTTAAATGATTTGAGACTTCTAAACAAGCAGTAATTTCAATATTACATGCTACTTACTTTGTATTAGAGCATATTTTCTGCATACCTTATGTTTGAACATGGTTTTAGGTATGTGCTTGTAAAGACTAATTAAGAAAAATGAAATGGCAAATAAAAACTAATTTTGCTACATTTTTTTATTTGTCTTGCAAATATATATAGATTAAACTGTTAGTTGAATTCAATTAATATATAAGACTGACAACCTTTGTGCATACACTCAATAAAAATAAAACATAAGCACCAGTGTTTCAATATGCACAATAATTTTATTTGTGTAAGATTAAAAGAAATATGCTTTATATATTTTTATGGACAACATGATCCAACATCTTTAGGAAACAAAGAAGGACACAAGGTTTGTTTATGTACTCGAGTAAATGTATAATTAACATATTATACAGTGGCACCACTTACAGAAACAAACTCCAGAATTCCAATATGGTACATTACCTCCTCTCACATGTATAGCTATTCTCGACCAGTGCTGCCTTCTATATGCAAACTTTTTTCCCATACCACAAGTCTTGAACTCTCACATGCCCCACAATTAACATTGTTCAACTGCATCTCACATGTAAATCATCATGTGACAACCCTCCATCAATAATAGCCCAACACACCCTCCTGATGCATGTGATACTCTCTATAATCAATTCTACCATTAGGCAGTGATTGAGTGCAGATGTTTTTCAATTGTGCTCGTTTTACATGTTCATTTAATTTTGTCTTGCGAAGTAGTTATTTACGTGATTTATTCCTTTACTACAGTTAGTTTTCTGTAGTAGTTTGCTGGAATAACTTACCTTTGTTTATCGATTTTTTTCTCACTTTTACCACTACTTCGATTACCATTACACAGGTTACAGGTCTGTGTGTGTGTGTGTGTGGGG